GTTACCTTCACAAAGAGGAAGTTTGGCCTGATGAAGAAGGCCTACGAGCTGAGCGTGCTGTGTGACTGCGAGATAGCCCTCATCATTTTCAACAGCTCTAACAAACTGTTCCAGTACGCCAGCACAGACATGGACAAAGTGTTGCTGAAATACACAGAGTACAATGAGCCCCACGAGAGCAGAACCAACTCTGACATTGTAGAGGTGAGTGGGAATTCTCTCTACTTTTTTTTTTGTCCTTTATGATTTATTGCTGAAAACTTACATTCAGACTCATTAGATTAGAGCCACATTAATAATTGCAGTGCAGGAATCTGTTTTTAAAATATGTTCATTTCTGTAGCACTTCTAAATACTGCAGGATTAGATAAACAAGTCAGGAAGAAGTAACAATTTCCTTCTAGTCATGACACAGATAGGGAACAGGAGGTCTGTGCTCCCTGATAAGTTTGGCTTCTCTTTTGTGAGGCAACGAATGTGAAAGACCTATCTGCACACGCATGCACACAGTTGCTCCTGACCACCAGTGCTGACTTCCAGTGTTTCCCAGAGATATTATACCTTTAGAGCACAGGAGCCATGCAGCCTTTCTCTGCACTTAGTCATCAACCCAGTTGCCTGCTGCATTTTTAGCAGAAATACAGTTTACAGCATATTATTTAATGCTTTCATGAGAGCACTTGAGTTTCCTGGCAACTCCTGTATACTGGTGACTACCGAAAGAGTAAGCCACTTGTTATGCCAGTGTATAGAATCGTCAGCCAAAAGTGTTAAAGCCAGAGTAAATAAGAATAATTAGGGACACATCCTGTTCCAAACATCTTGCACTTGCACACATGTGGTTTCATCGTGTTATTTCAAGATCTGCTTTCTTTAAAGGGGCCGTTTTCTTCATTCCAACTGCATCAAAGTAGACACAATGAATGCTATTGCTTATTGATGATATTATGACATTGAGTGTGAAATTAACGTTCATCTTTATCGCGGTTATATCAAGTGCACTTAGGTTATAGAGAAAGATACTTTCTTTTAAATGCAAAAAGCTGCTTCATGCCTGCACTGTTTCACTGCCACCTGCCCACTACATGTGCAGAACTCCTCTTACCACCGCACAAATAACAGATTTTTAAGAGTTCAAAATAGTTGAGATTTAATTTCTTTGCTTTGAAAAAAGAGATCACTCGGAGGAATTAGTGAAATTGTAGGCAACATAAAGGAGTCAGCTGCAGCCCATTATCTTTTATTTATGCTGCTTCTGCTGGTGAATTACCTGCTTGGCAGAGCTGCAGAAGAATGTTCTGGCATCCTCATGTAGTCACCTCTCCATCAGGGGCCCTCTAAGCAGACTAGAGTAGGCTCACCTGCATAAAAGATACATGGATACATGCCTTATATAACAGTGACCACTAAGTTGTTTTTGCTGTGACTCTAAAACCTTTTGATCTGAGAAAAGAAATATTCCCTGTATTTTTAACCAGGGTTTTCTGTGTTTATCTGTATATATATATATATATATATATATATATATATATATATATATATATATATATATATATATATATATATATATATATATATATATAGCTCTAGATTCTCTAGATTAAATGGCTGTGAAACAATTCCTTTATAAAAGAGGTTCACATATTAATTTTCCCTCTTTTTTTTCATTTGGGGAGAATAATTTGATTTCATTTGATGCCCCTGCTTTACAAAAGTTGTCTTAGATAAAATTTAGGAGATCCGATCATCTAAGGACTCGTCTTATTCCCTTTTGCTGAGATAACTTCAGAGAAAGGCTTTTTTTAGCTATTCACCAATATCTGACATCATTCTGTTTATAGTGTTTATTAGGGGTAGCTGTCCAACTTTTGTGTACATTCTGTCATGCAAACCTTAGTCTGAGTCTCTTAATGTTTTGCTAAGAGCAAAAGTCCTCCTTGCAGAGTCTCCATGAAAGGTAAATCCATGTACAGTAGTTTAAGTCTGATTGAAAAGGCATGAACTTTCATGTCAAAATGAAAAAGAGTATAGATTCTGTGATGATGGCATTTGTGCCTATCCATCCATCCATCCATTATCTGACACCCTTGTCCCGAGTGGGGCCGCAAGGGGTGCTGGTCCCTTTTTCTGCAGTCAATGGGCAAGAGGCGGGGTACACCCTGGACAGGTCGCCAGTCCATCACAGGGCAACACAGAGACAAACAACCATTCACACACACAATCAGACCTAAGGACAATTTAGAGAATCCAATTAACCTAACATGTCTTTGGACTGTGGGAGGAAGCTGGAGTACCTGGAGAGAACCCACGCATGCTCAGGGAGAACATGCAAACTCCATTCAGAAAGACCCTGGGCCAGGACTCGAACCCAGAACATTCTTGCTGCAAGGCAGCAGTGCTACCCACTGCTCCGCAGCCCGCATTTGTGCCTAATGTCTCTTAATTGTAGGTTATTTAAAGGTTTATTTAAAACCCTCCATTAGTCTGACCAGACGTCCCAATTTTTGCGAGACTGTGCCACATTTTTTACTCCTATCCCGCTGTTCTACAAAACAAAACAATATCCTGAATTTGACTAGGTTACATAACAAAAAAAAAAAAAAAAAAAAAAAAAAATATATATATATATATATATATATATTCACTGGTGCTTTTTCGTAATGGATGACAACCCTCTGCACGATGCTCTTAAAAAGGAACAGGAAAAGGATTTTACTATGAAATATTGAATGTACTGTGGAATGGTTTATAACTGATTGAGGCCATCGACGCCCATAATGACCTACCAAGAGGGACACAAACTGAATAGTTGGCTAGCACTCTGCTCTATCGATATTTTTCAAACCTAGACAATTAAAATAATTATAAAAAAGTGATACTGGCCTATTTTGTTATTATCTGTATGCAGTTTAATTCCTCTTTGAATCCCCTAATTTATTTATTTTTTGTCCTCTTTTTCCAATATAGCTGTGAATTGATGTCCCTGAGCTAGATGATTGCCCAACAGATTTGTTTTCACATGCAGACCATTATGGTTGTTGCCATAAGGTTCTGCTTGGAACTTGTAAATGAAACTTAATAGAAAATTATTTAGGGAGTTAAAAACATTAACAACAGACATGGAGACAGGAAGGGAGTTGAGAAAGAAAGAGGGGATAAGACCTAAGGGCAGAGAGAAAGAGACCATAGTGCAGAGGTCTTACAGCTCAAATGCAGCAAGCCCATGGGCTCCGCCGTGGCCGGTCATGCCCAATATTGACCCGGATGAGAACCCAGAGGTATGGGGGCGCATCACCCCCTAGTGGGGTTAGGGTTAGGGTAAACCCTAACCCCCTTTATGCAAACTATCAGATTGACCCGCTGATGTGATGTGGTACAGTAGAAAAAACAAAACAAAACACCCAACAGTCTTTTGGAAATCCTTTCGAAAGTAGACACACCTGCCTTTAAAGGTTGCTCTCTTTGTCTGCATGTGGGGTGGGGGTACATGTGTTCACCTGCCTGCAAGTGCATTTAGGGTGAGCCTGGTGGATTGTCCACATTTTCATAGTGCTGATTCAAAGTCCTCAAACAAGCTGGTTTCTCACATGTATGTTAGACAAATTGTTCTCATTAAAATTTAGCTTATCGGCCTAATTTTGACTACTTTCAGCGTAACAAGCCGTTACACTGAAATGCGCTGCAAAGAACCCTGGGAGCTGGAGCCCATGATCAGTCATAGGGGTGATGTTGCCTTTTTAGAAGTGTAAGCAACTGTTTTTATCTAGTTAACCCCCTCCTGGAGCGGCGCTACTCTGCTTGCTAGGAAAGATATATTGGAGAGATTGATTGATCAGATTGGAATTTAGTATCACTAAATTCCTAAAAATGTTTTAATATGCAGCAAATGTCTTTTCATGCTCATCTGCTGTATCCTTTAGTGAAGCACATGGCGGAGCTGGAATGTACATGGTGAATGCTTGTACACCAGTGACCCTGAGTTGATTCCTCTTTCATTCTTGCTGCTGCTCTCAAGGAAGCTTCCCCTCTCTACAGAGAGGACAGCACAAGCTGCTGTTATCTCGGCTTACTCAGCAAACGTCTTCACAAATTTGGACAACTAACCTCTGCCTGCTACTATAAGTCGGTGGTATCAGAAATAATATAGGGTTGAAGGAATCAATTGCATTGCCCTACTGTACTTTATTCCTATGTTTTTGCTCAGCTACAATCTGTTTAGCCTAATATCTACTCACTCTACTGTTAATCTGTATCCAACATTAGTGCTTTTTTAAAGCGGTAAACATCTCTATACATGTTTCTGAAGAGCTGGCGCACTTTAACTGATAGGTAGAATCCACCGCTTCCTCGTTTATCTGCCAAAATGGGCCTCACATGGGGACACTTACAGTGGACACTTATCTAAATGTTTAAATTAGGTTAGACCAATCTGATTCATGCACACAGGCATGTGCTCATTTGTCCAGTTTGGGAGGGAACAGCCCTCCACTTCCATTTCTATTTTCTTTTTTTCCCCTCTCTCCAGTAAGCTCTTTTCCATGCGAGAAACTAAATCAAAGGTCACATTCCTGCTCAGTAGTACCATCTGTAGATAAAGGCTGAGCTGTGCAGTGTGAGAGAACAGTGTCCATGTTTTCCACAGATGGATGAATGCCTTGGCCACAGTTTGATAACCCAGTGGAGGGCTGTGGACTTTGTCTCAAACTTGGCTCACCATCCAAAGTGGAGCAGTAGGTTCACATTCTTCACCGAAATGTGTGTGGTTAACCTTACTAACACTCTAGGGAACAATACAGACAATTTCTCAATTTTTCAGTCAATAATTAGATAAGTCTTTAAAATCAACACATTATGGATTTATTTAACATATTCTGTGTTTTAAGTGCTTTTTTTAATCCCATCTCAATATTCATTCATTTATATTTAAATCATGCATTTCTTGCGAGTTAGGAGTTTGCAAAGAGATTAGAATGAGTCGACAGATCTTGTTGTACAAAGGCGTCAGTTAGGAATAAGGTTTGGGTGACACATCTAACCACAAAGATAGGCAAACCATGGCAGTGAAAAGAGTCACTGATAACACAAGAAAAATAGGACAAGATAGAAAATGTAACAGTGAGGTTTCCATGGGCCCACAGCAACATTAAAGGGAGCTGCAGGACTTTTTTTTAACGATTAGCTATTAGCTGCCTTCAATATGTAAA